GTTGGACTTGGGTCATTAAAAGGTAAGAGCATTACCACCTGTCTTATTTAGGGTGATGCAGGCTAAATGGTTGTTAGTGGTGGGGGAGTGTATGTGAGAGGGTGCATACTTACAGCGAGAGCGGTGGGGAGGAGAGAGAGAGAGAGAGAGAGAGAGAGAGAGAGAGAGAGAGAGAGAGAGAGAGAGAGAGAGAGAGAGAGAGAGAGAGAGACAGACAGAGTGACAGAGTCATACGTGGAATACTTTCTTATAAACAACTGAACTAAATATAACCACAAACTTTCGTCCATACTACTTGTTAATTATCATGTTTGCACACGTTTTAATATTGCAAATATGTCACACACACACACACACACACACACACACACACACACACACACACACACACATTCATACATGGACTCCTCCGACAGACACGTCGTGGGTGGACTTCGTGGAGCACCCGGTGATGAGGGAGACCAAGGAACGATCAGTCTTCATCCACGTCGACGTTCCCGGCCAAGAGGACGGCGCCCCTGACCTTCCCAACGAGTGAGTACTCTTCTCAAGACACCCTTCACCCCCCCCCCCCCCCACCCTTCCCTCTATCCGGTCCTGTCTCCTCTAGCAAGTACTGCCGCTGATGTACCTCCACGACCCCTTCACTATCCAGGAGAGATGTAATCTAAACTCGGCTGAAGAACACCGTAGACTGTTCGTTCTAAACATTCGTTCTTGGATTTTGTGTTTATTATACAAGGAACACCTTCTTTGATCTATTTGAATCTCCAATATTGCTCAGAGACGAATTATTTTGTCAAAGTTGTGACGGCTGATGCGAATACACCAACAAGATAGGATGCAAGAACCTCATAATTACAATTATAAATAACCTGTTTGCTGCATAGAATAAAGAGTTCACAACACAATTTGTATGGATCAAATTTGATCCATACGCTCAAATATATAACTCAATATGATGGTACAGACACCAGCTGCATTAGCATGCAACAAAGGTGAAACTATATTAGGCTCAGGTAACCCCCCAGCTCCAAGATCAGGTTTGGGGAACCGTTCCCTATGGCAGGTGGTTACAAGCGACCATTCCCCCAGCCCTGAGCACTTCGTGTGTAAACTCTGCCAGTAGGAACTGCAGTATAATATCACGCATTGCAAGATTGAACGTGCAGTCATTAGACCCTTGAGATCTGCCGCCGTGAAGTACCTGAAGCTATGCAATTATTTCATCCACTCGCGTGTTGCTGAGGATGCAAACTCTGCAACCTCGTTCCCTTATCGAACGAGTTCCCTAGTTTCACTCGTTCCTTTATAGGATTGCAGTGCACTCCAGGAACATCATCCCAGAGGTTGTGACCCCAGGGGAGCCTGACCCCAGGGAAGCCTGACCCCAGGGGAGCCTGACCCCAGAGGAGCCTGACCCCAGGAGAACCTGATCCAAGAGAGTTTGGCACCAGTGTTTCTGACCCAAAATGGCCTGATCCCAGAACCTCCTGACCGCCCTCAGACCTGACCCGCACTTTCCCCAAGATTTCCAGAACCCAGAGGCCGTGACCCCAGAGTGCCTGCCACTCTGAGTAAAACATTGTACAGGTGGGCCGTAGAGTGCAAAGTGCGCGAGCGTGCAGGAGTGGCAGCATAATTACAGCCACTCTCTTCCCTTCTTCACATTTGCAGCATTTTCCCTGAATTTTCCCCACTTGTAAGTAGCCTGGGTTCGTGACGGGAGAGGAATCCGTCCATCCATCCATACATACATGCATACATGAATGCAGTTATGTCATTGCAGGGAACGTGAACATACGCACTAGAATGTATTCCTGCGCCTAAACACCGATGTAAACACTAGTTAGCTCTAAGTGTCCTTATCATTGATCTGTTTACCTTCCTCTACTCTCCCTTCTCTGACACCACTACTCCTCCTCCACTCACACCACTACTACTCTTATTACTTATTCCCTCTTTACCCCTCTGCCTGTCCTCTCAGTCCTCCTTCATCTCTTTTTTTTCGCACATGCAGGTCGGCGTTCAATCCCCGACCGTCCACAAGTGGCTGAGCACCATTCCTTCCCCCCGTCCCATCCCAAATCCTTATTCTGACCCCTTCCAAGTTCTATATAGTCGTAATGGCTTGACGCTTTCCCCTGATAATTCCCTTCGTCTACTTGTTCCTCTACTTCCTCTGTTTCTCTCCATCCTCTCCCTTCCTCCCTCCTTTCTTCCCCTCTGCACTTCTTCCTTGCTCAACTAGACCATTAAATATAAAATTAAAATCATGTGTATTCGCCTATGTATGAAGACCACTGAGCTACAGAGACACTAGCCAGTGTTGACGGGAGGGTGTGGTGAGTACTGGGGGGGGGGATACTGGAGGGGGGTACTGGGGTGGGGAGAGTACTGGAGGGGGGGGGGGTACTGGAGGGGGGTACTGGGGTGGGGAGAGTACTGGAGGGGGGTACTGGGGTGGAGAGAGTACTGGAGGGGGTACTGGGTGGGGAGA